GCCGCGTGCATCGCCATGTGGTCGTGAGAGGGCATTAAAGGCCACTAACATGTGTGGCAGCCCCGGCCGGTTTACACAGCATACGTCATGACTGGAATGCATTTCAGAGCATTATGCATTGGAGCATGACACAAGGAATAGTCCAGTCTTGTAAACGAGGGCATCGGTAACGTCGACGGATTCTGTTTGACTATCCGTCCCATGTCCAATCACGCCTGGCCTGCAAGGATGGCGTAAGAATCCTCCATTCGATGGTGAGCTCACTAGTATCTACATGCACGTCGGCGTGCTCCGTCATGCACCACATGTCTGCCTGACATGTTGACATTTCGTCACGCTGACCTCTAGGTCACGATGCACAGAAACGTATTGCGCCAAGCTCCTAAGCCCGCAGCGCTGGCGCGTCCCGCCGACTGGGGCTGCCTCCGGCCTCTCTGTAACGGTATACCGACCGGTGATCGGAGCTGTACTTCAGCTGACGGCCAACAAAGCCGCGGCAGACTGGTCGAAGGAGACGCGCCGACTTTCGCCGCAAACCGAGTGTGATGTTTTCTCCATGTCAGACATTAACCCGCGCCTGACCGGGGTCTGGGACAACCGGACCCGACCAGGGGGCGGGGGGGGGAGTTGACTTCCCCCCAGCGGCCGTTTTTTTACAGGTTACTCCCTCCGACCTGACCAAGGCCACTGATCGTGGTAGATCAGAGCTCTTAATATTTACAAAGGATGCCAAATTGATAGATGAACAGGTGCTGAAAATTTCGTGAAGCTGCGAGCGTTTGTTTTTTGCCTGTGCTCGTAAAACCGTAGGGGAAAGTCAACTGCTGGTTATACCCGCGAAAGACAAATTTTGCCCACGCCATTGTCAAAGTTGTCAGAAACAAGGTCATTTAGAGGAATTATTAAACCTGAATAGGAAACTTCACCCATGGTTATACCTTCATGAGGAAACATCCCAAGTTTACGTGCTCGAAGATCTCCGTTTTATTATGGTTTTATATTTTAGCAGCCCTGTTCCTTTTCATCTAGCCGTTAGTTTATTGCTCTGCCCTGCATATCTACAAAGGGAGCGTGTATATCGACTCATGAGTCGACATACTGAAAACGACCCCCTGTGTAAATCACGTCGGATCCGAGTCGATTTACCCACAACTGCACTACTGTGTAAATCGAGTCAGATTTATTTCTGGAATGAACTGTGAGTCCTGGAACATGTTTAGCCTCATCAGAATGTACGAATTTTTGCATTGTATATTGATATAATACGGGGCTACATGTCATGCGGCGTTTGTAGTGTATTGCATTTCATGACCAGGCTTGTCCAAGGCTGGCTCGTCGTTAGATAGCCTCAGGCTTGTCTGTGCCTTCTAGTGCCTGGTGGCTAGAGTTGAACGGCTTAACTTGCATAGTTTGCTCTGTCTATAGGTATGATTGCTATGAACATTTCGCAATATTAATTTATAATATCTCCCACTCTTCCTATCATAGTGATGTGAGTACAGTTAGGAAAGTACAGTAGAACCCTATGATATCGGCCTCATGATGCTACAGTCAAGAGTTTTGTACTTCAGGGCTTGTACACATATGCATAATAAAATATTCCCAGGCCGAGCATTTTAGATGCTACCAATCGTTCAAAGCAAACTGCTACAAGAGATCTCCCGTACAAGGCGCTAGTCATGGCAACTGATCGCAACCCACGGATATGAAACGCCAAGCAACCGCGAATAGCAAGTACCCAAAACCAGACGTAGAGGTTCCCCACGATCTGAAGGGGCCCTGGAATCTTATCGGATGAGGGCCCCGACAGTAGCTTAAGGCCCTCCATTCAAGCAAGAAGTACCTAAAACCCATGCGGAGGGCCCCGAAAGATGGAGTGTACCCGAACAGGTCATCAGATGACCCTGATACGGGCAGAGGGCCTTAAATTCAAACACCGAGAACCAATGTGCAGGGCCCACCAGTAGTCCAGGGCACCCGACAAGTGTGTACGGCCTCATTCAAATAGCACGTACCTAAGGCCCAATATAGAGGGCCCCCGGAACGATTGAATGTGTCTGAGCGGGTTATCAGATAGCCCCCCTCCCCCCACAGAAGCGTAGGCTCCCCATTCAGAAAGGAAGTACCAAAAACCCAGTGTAGACGATCCCCGAACGACCGAGTGTGCCCAAGCAGGCCATTAGATGGGCCCCCAACAAGAGTGTAGGGCCCTAAGCAAGTGACAGGGAATCGGAAACGCCCTAAACCAATGTAGAGGACCCATGGGCACATCGCAAGTGTGTCGGTAGGTTAACCGATACCCACGTAAAGGGCCCCTGAGCAACCGAGAGTACCCTGGCAGGTTAAGGTATGGGGCTCTGGCTACCGCTCACAGAGCCTGTCTGGCGAATGGAAACAATCCATGGAAGGGCCCGTGATTAACAAGAGTTGCTCGTCACGCTAACAGGAAGGGCCCCAACAACAGCGCAGGGCCCTCTGAGCAGATGCAAAGAAATGAAGGACAACGTAGAATGCTCCTAAATGACAGAAATGAGCCTGCAAGGGGCATATGGGCCCCCCCGGAAGCAGCATGGGGCCCTAGACGGTGTAATGGGGCTTGAGATTTTCAGTTCACAACCTTTCCAATCATTGAGTAGTTTTTGGGACTTCTCATAGGCCCTTCAATTTCGCTTACAACTGTTCTTGGTGGCTCGAAAGTCCAAAGATACCCAGTTTTGTTGTGTAATGTGTTAAAAAACTGCACCTGTTCGGCCGGAAACACTGCACCTGCACCGCGAAACCAATGGGCCCCTTCGGAGCCCAAGGGGGGAGGGCATGTCCCGTGGCCCTCCCTCTGGATCCGCCACTGGTTGTTACCGTGCGTTTTGGGGGATACTTTTGTTATTTTCCAATTTTTTGCCCGTCCCCCGAACCCAGTTTGCCCTTGATGTCGGATTGTCGCGGGGAGAATGTGATTGATCCTAGGCTTGAAGTGTCATTCAGGTGACCAGGACGAAGTCTCAAATGGGCGCACCGTAAATCCGATATGGGACCCGAAGCGCTGGCTAAAGGTCATTGAGGGGGCGCGGGTCGGACCCTCAAATACCAGCCAGAGGGCCCGTTGCACCCATTGGGCCCCCGGCGTGGGCCTGGGAGCCCATTTCCCAAGCAGGGACAATGTCAGGACCCGCTATTTACATCGGTCAGTGCACCCTAAGCCAATGAGGGGCCCCTGTGTCGGTCAGGGGCACACAGCGCCTAACCGGAGGTCCGGTGTTGACAAGGGCCATCCGAGTTGGTCAGGGAGTGTACGAGGGTGCCTGAAGAGGGACCGATGTGCCCTTCAAGACTGACGATAAACAGGCCGAAGGGAAGGCTGAATGGCCGTAGGGGTCGAAAGGCTGCGGGTCATCCTGGCCCGTATGGCTGTGACCCCAAATGCCAGCCAATATGCCTTTTTCGCCGATTGTGAACCGCTGGAACAGTGCGAGCACCTATTTCGGCCGGAGACCACTACGCCGAATAGTTGACTCCGTGTTGTTTTGAGGTCTGGGGCTCCATTTCTCTAGCAAGAACGAAACCGAAGCCCCTGATTTGCATTGGTCGGAGTCCCTACAACAATGAGTGGTCTTTTGACGGTCAGGCCCCTGGAGTGCTCAACAGGAGGTCCTGTGGCGGAAGGAGTCCCGAGTCGGCCAGAGGTGCCCCGGGGCCCTTGCAGGACCCTTCACCCCGTTTTAGCCAAGGGTCCGTTGGCCAAACATGGGTCTCTGTGCCAGTTATTGGATCCCCTGCGGTTATCAGAGATCTTGTCGCCCCAATGAGGGCTCTTGCGCCTATTCCGGGTTGAATGTCCCGGCCAGAAGCAGCCAAAGGGCCTTCCGCGCCAGGGAGGGCACCAATGCAGGACGTACATCTGTGAGGGCCTCCGGACGAACCCATCAGACGAACCCGCCTCCATGTCGCCAGAATGGCAGCTGGTAGACACCCCGGGATGGGACGAACTGATCTTTAAGGAATTGCCCGGAAGGGTTGTGTGCACCTAACTTTTCCCTAATGTTTACACATTTTACACATTACATTATACATAATGTTTACACATTGCACATTTTCAATTAATGTTTACACATTTTACACATTACATTACACATAATGTTTACACATTATACATTTTCAATTAATGTCTACACAAGCTGCTGGCATCATTTATATTTACGGTCAACCTTCACGGGATCCTCAATATATCTGTAGCGTATGGACTCCCTCCTCCTAAAGGGACGGTGTCCTCTTTACATTAGTCCGCCATCTGGTGTAAGAAACTGCGCTGCTGTCCGGTATGAAAAGCCCAGGTTAGAATTCATCCCGCTTGGCGAGTCGGCATTGTCACGCCACGCCGAAAGACCACGAACCCACCCACCTAACAGCGGCCGTCGTAAGATCCGAACCCGGGCTTACCGCGTGCGAGGCCAGCATGCTAACCACCTATCCACTGGAGATGCGTGCCCGGCGGCCGAAAATTTGTGATCAGAATAGGACTGGTTCAGAATGAGTTGATGGATTTCGTGATCATTTGATGCCCATCACGCATAGAGCCGACTTTTCGCGCGTGATTCTGCATATTTGCACTTGCTTCCCTCTAAGGCTGGCAATCCGCGTATGTTTGACACGCAAACCATCTGAAAGATTGTTGGAGGGTGTATAAGCCCGGTGCGTAGCCACCCTCCATTTTGGAGGGTGTATAAACCTGATGTGTAACCACCCTCTGTTTTGGAGGGTGTATAAGCGCAATGCGTAACCGCCCTCCGTTTTGGAGGATGTATACGCGTACCTTCAAACTAATGGGTTGTGTAGCAGTCATCTGACTAACTGAAAGGGTTCCGTGTCCCTGACGTCATAAAATATGGTGTAAATGACGTCATGCAGGCTTTGTGTCCAGACCACATCTTTTCCTACCCAGCTCGATGTTGCCGCTTTTTGATGATGTTAAACGATACGGATGGCACCCCCCGTTTCAGGCGAGTGATATTTGCACCAATTTGTACAGCGTGCGTTGTGTATGGGAGGTTAACGCGGCAAGGATCGAAAAGTTTCTGGGGCAGAGAATAGTGTTTCGTTGTTTCGTTATTATCGTGATTTTGTGGGCGGGAATTCATTATCATTTTGTGAGTTGCGTGTTGGTAAGTGGTGGAGATGAATGCCATGCGTTCCAGCCTGGAAGGCAACAGACGTCAACGTAAATTGTCTGCCCGATCACCTGGCTGTCATGATCCATGAATTGGGCATTTGAAGTTGGATTTTCCTTGGTGCTTAACTGCGAGGGTTTTTTTCTTTCCTTCATTGTGTTACGGAAAAACACTGGATTTTGTTTGGCAAGATGGATGACAAAGTCTTGGACATTTACGGTGTAATATCCGAAAGGCCTAGACTGGAAAAGGGCATTGTGCTGAACATTTCTCATGTAGCAGTGATATATTGGCCACAAATTGCAGGGTGCCTATGGTGGAGATGTGAGTGCTCGGAGATTGGGGAAGGGTGTCACCAATTACAGTGCAGGGAGAGCAATTTTTCAGGGCATTTTTACTTGTCAAAATGAGTGCAATCAATAATGCTTGCCCACATTTTTTAGCTGAAAAATGATTAGACTATTCCATTCCATTTGGCCTGCCCTGAGCTGGACAATAAGGAATGATGCTCAGCTTGCCACTGTTGTGTAGTCTTTGAGTGCATTGAATGGATTTTGTGTAGGCTGGCCAAGGTTTTTGTAGACCACAAAACTAAGAACTGTTCCTGATGTTTATGCCCCATTGATCTACTGAACCTGGATTATGCTTGCAAACATGCATGCACCCAACTTGGACCAGGTCAAAGTGTGTTGAAATTTCAAATATTTTGCTTGAAACATGTATTTTGACTTTTTTCTAATTGGCCCATCAGCATCATGATTCCTTGAAATAAAGGCTCTTTAAGAGATGAAATCACTGGCTGTCATGTGGTCAAATTGGGGCTCTCAAATTCTCAGCATTTATCCTTTGAAATCTCTGTTGAGTTGTCATGGCTCTGTCAGACATGTGCAGCATCAGATGTGCTTTTTTTCAGTCCTGGCCAAAGGCAATGAAAATTTCCCTCCCTTGGGATCCCGAAAGCCCCTTTGGTCATTTCCTTCTGGTCTATGCACATGGTAAATGTCTAACTTCTAGGATGTTGGTTGCTTGAGCCTCTGACCAGGTGATCCTTCCTCCCCCCCCCCCCCCCCCCATCCCACTACCAGGTGACCAGATCTTCCTTTCCTCTGATAGGGGCTGTACTAAGATATTTTTGGAAATTATGTATTTATTTTGTTGTGTCCTGACTTGAGCTTGCATGAGATTCTGTGCTGGTCTTTTTCCACCAGTACTTTTCACCAGCATGTAATGATGGAAAGCTGGCTGGTAAAAACTTTCAGCCAGCCACAGCCAACCTTGTAAATGACTGAAGGATTGCTAAGGTAAGGATTGCTAAGGATTGGTTATGCTGCCAAATTTAAGGGCAACCTGGAGGGGAGGGGAGCAGTGGGGTATGGCCTCTCCCGAAAATTGATTTGAGCCAAACCATGTGTTTGCATTCTCAAAATTTTCTGTAAATATCCACATTTAAGGCATCAAAGGTATATGTTTGATATTTCCACTTCTTTCTCTTCAAATTTCTTCCTTCACTTTCCTCATTAATGATCAACAGTTTGAAGCTGAAGTGGTTAATGCATGGTGTTCAATGATTAATTTCAAGATGGGTTTTAGCAGATCATATTTACCAACTGCTTGTCTGAGTGATTTATTTTTATGGCTTTTAAGATGTATTTCTGCTTGTGACAATACTTTTCTAGGGCATTGCATCTGGCTGTTCTCAGATGCTGGGCTTTTATCACCAGTATAGATATCAAACATTATTTGGTGCATGTGTTCAATGCAAAATCATAAAACCTATCCTGAGAATAGGCCAGCAAGTGGCTTTCTCTCTGAATTTGGCCTACTCTTGTCTTAAGTTGTGGTGGGGGGTTGGTCCAATACAATAGAAAACTACACACTAGGCCATATTTTAACATAGCAGCCGGTGAGGCAGATGTCTCCACAGTCACCCAAAACTTCTCCAGTCACGGAATTTGTCTGTTGTGGAAACCATGAGATTGATGAATAGCTGCAGAAACCTGAGTAGAGTGTTAACTCAACAATTATGCTTGGTTAGGAAAAAACTGCTTCGAGGAGAAAAGGGGCATATTTGCAGCAAGGACAATGTGTTTCTCCCAAAAGGTGTCCTTCATGTAGAGCAGTTGGGCACTCCATATGCATTGCCACTCCATCCTACCCCATCTTAGGGTGCCAGTAGTGTAGTGGTTAATGCATCTGTGTTAACCACTGGGCATCTGGGAAACCAGAGGTATGGGGACGAGATTTCCTGTGGTGCCGGCCCTTCCTGCTAGGGTGAGAGGCAGGCGACGCCACGTGGCCTCGGCAGCTGAGTGCATGGTAAAGCCCCAATGACGCACACACACACACACACGCGCGCACGCGCGCACGCACGCACGCACGCACGCACGCACGCACGCACGCACGAACCATATTTCTTAAGTGTCGAGGCCAAAAGATGTATTCCTTCATGAGTAAACATCATAGAATTTCAGCAGGATAGTAGATTTCCAGCTGGGTGTATGTTTTGTGGTACTGAGCACAGCCAAGTGTTGAAAAACTTGTTATCTTTGATGCTGCACTTGCAGCAAGTTTTCCCTGGGAGGGGCAGGTGGAGGCATTGCAAATATGGCCAATTTGGAGTGCCTGTGGTAGTTCAAACTACCTACCTCAACAAGCACTGGGAGCACTGTTTGGCTCAATGTTGGGACAAATTGGTGAGTCCACACATCAGTTATGTTGTGCATGATAATGTCTGACTTGTTCTGTGATTGCAGAAAACACGATGGCTCATCAACTGTACAGGAATACTACAATCGGACACTGTCTGCAGGAGAGTCTGGATGAGCTCATGCAGGTAAGTGGGCAGCATTGGGTCGCAAGCATGAAATTCGCCGAGTTGTATTGGGTTTCTTGGCAATCGTTGTGAGAACAAGCTCAGAAACCCAATTGGTTATTTCACAACAGAATGCTCCCAGGCATTTTGCTGCCCTTGGCTCAAATATCTTGAGACGTTGGGACTCCCCGCAGATCTGTTCATACCCCAGAAGAGCTTCGAGATTGTCTGAGCTGCTTCTTTTCAGTAGAGGGTCTGCCTAGCCCGTTCGAGCAGACTTTTGTGTGTTGTATGGGCTGAGCAATGCTCTTGTTCTGGTACTTAATCTCAGTGCAGATTTTTACTAAACAAACACCAAACCTGTGTTGACTTTGTTTTGAGATTTAGTTCCTTTACTAGGCTGCGTTAAAACACGGCTCGACCTCTCGGAAAAACTTCTTGGGTTGCTGTTGTAAACCGACGTGGCCATCTAAAAAAGCGTAACATATTCCGATCATTTAGATGGAACAGACATGCAACGAAGTATTTCTCAATGTGACCAATGTGCTTCAACAAAGTTTTCCGTCATTGGGCGGCGATATCAGTCAGTTTCGATTTGCTAAGATGTGTTATCAAGGCGGAAAATGCAAGTTTTTAAGTTCACAAGTTCAAGCTCAAGCAACTTCACAGTTCATTTTGGTTTTCTTTTTGTCATCCCTTCATTCCTCCTTATCAAAAAGTTTCAGTCCAATTTCGGTTTACTTATATTCTGAACAGGATGCCTTTGTTCTAAATAAAGTTGTTCTCTTAGTCTATTCTGTAACTGAGCCATGGTATTGTATTTTAAGCTAGCTAAGCTTTGGGCTTTTATATTTAAGCTCTACATTTGTGTGATATTTTGATTGAAATGGTCGTCCTGAAGATCATGCGGTGCATTTCACCGTTATGCCCTTTGCAAGACACTAAAACTTTCTAGTTTATAGGCTACACGCCCGCCAAGATGTGCAGAGTATTTCGTTCAAGGTCATTCAGGCATGCATAACGCCACAGAAACGCCATTCAAGTCCTGTGACCCCATTGACCATTCGTCGTTCAAGGCGAACAAGAATCTCATCGCTGAGCCGTTTATGCCTGACGTTCGTGAGCACGATTTCCAGCCACAACGGCCGTCAATCAGCTCGCGACCAATATTGTGCGGGCTGTGCACGTTTCAATGACGAATCACTTTTTGTGCTGCATAACACAAGGACATCCTTGCTAGTTATCACGGAAACAAGACGTGTGACTGAGTAGCTTAAGAATAACGTCCTAACGAATATGTGAATGCAAGGAAAGATTTGAAATTCGAACCCAGCCTTACCTAACCTAACCTGTCCTAATCTAGCTAACCTAACCTGACCTAACCTAACCTAACCTAACCTAACCTAACCTAACCTAACCTAACCTAACCTAACCTAACCTAACCTAACCTAACCTAACCTAACCTAACCTAACCCAACCTAGCCTAACCCGGATCTTACCCAACAAGTAGTACCCGGATCATCCATGTCGGTTCACTCAGACGTGGCTTGTCCGTCCAGAAGGACACTTTCCTTTAGATTTTCGTGAAAATGGATTGGCATACGTCTTGGTAAAAGACGTTCCTTGGTAACACGGTTTTTCATCCGCAGTATGACCAGATGACTCCAGCACTGGCAATGAAGGTGCTTGTGCAGTTCGATAAAGCCATCAGCGCTGCACTGGCCAACCGAGTTAAATCCAGACTATCATTCAAGGTGAGATATTAGTATTTCGTTTGTAAAGGTGCGCTTTTGTACTCATTTAGTTACAGTTGTAGTCGATAGCTTGCTGTGGGCATTTGCAGCCGGCAGCTTTCAGCATGTTGGCGAAGCTAGCGATATTTTTTTCCCATGTCCTCTATGTGTGTGCTTAAAAAAAGTTTTTTTGTGGTAGTGTTTGTACATTGTTATCAGGTGATCGTCTAGCTGCATTACTCGTCTTGCGAACCTCAGGCGTATGTTGCGGTATGCCGGCAGTGAAAACGTTCCATTACTATGCAGTGTTCAAAGCCAGAAAACTATACTCTTGATGGCAGGCTGGTCGTTTGTTCACAGTCGTTGATGATCGTTGTGTGATATAATTCCTGTGTTGTGTTGTTTCAGGCTGGTAAACTAAACACGTACCGTTTTTGCGACAACGTGTGGACGTTGCTGCTCACCGGAGTAGAGTTCAAAGAGGTACACGACGTTGCGAAAGCGGACAAGATGAAGATCGTCGCCATGGATGGCAGAGGTGTGTTTTATTCGTATGCAGTTCTGTGTAAGGTGCAAATTGCTTCAGGGACATGTTTTGTGAACGTTAACGTTATATGTGTCTTGTCATATAATTTTTTCATCGGCATTGATGTGACAACGCTTTTGTGCACAATGGCAACGTTTTCGTGCGGCATAGGTTTTTGTTACCGTTCGCCAGGCTTTTTGTCTATTCTTATTGGTCCAATTTCAAAGAAGTAGCGTGCTTCGCATTCATTTCATTGTTTCGCATCAATCCATGGAGTTTCACTTCAACTGAACGTCACACGCAGTAAGTGTGGTTCCACGTGCCACTTCTTAAAGTGACAACCGAATTTTAAATCTGCCCAGTCCATTTGTGCTCGGATATTCTATGCAATCCAGCCCTGTCTCTTACGTATGGAAATTGTATTATGCTTCCTGGCCAATACATGAAGCAATTCATGACATATCAATGTATCCAGACCGTGGAGAGCTCGGTCAGATATCGGTGTCAATTCCTGTTTCGTAGGCACATTGCGATAGTGTTCCGACTTCCCACATTTCTGCTATGTTCTCGTACCTGCATAATAAATGTGAACTCAGAAAGCTTTAGCAATGTATTGCGATAAATGCAGGCAAAGATGTTTTGCAGAAGGCGTAGATATCCATGTTGTGTATATTCCTGATCAATTTTTTTCTACGTCACGTGAGGTTACGGACAGTGAGAGAGACGTTATTTATTCCCGATCGCAGTCCGTCACAAAACATGCATGGCAAAGCATAAAAATATGGCATAGAAGGTGAGACACCAGATGGGCTCAGTGATGCATATGCGTTTATAATTATGTGCCTAAAATGGGTGTGAAAACGGTGTATCGTGGTAGAAATAATCATTGTTGCTTCATTAAACGCGGAGATAAGGGCGAAATATAATCGATCCAAGGGATGCCAGAAGCAAAACATGAACCGACATCACTAGTGTTGGGAATCTGTAGCAAGTTAAGTTGGTGGATGTACTTAAACCGTTCCATTAGTCGAGCGTCGACCTCGGGTAGAGTCATTTTGTGTTACCTTTGAATACGTTCACATGTTTATGGTCCAACTGTTTTTCCAGACACTTTCGTCAAAGCAAATTTTGAACGGTCCGCTATGCCCATATGCGCGATAGTTGGTTACTGATACAGTGGTAATCGGCCGTGTTTTAGGTTTTGGTGCAATACGTGCCCGTTTGATTCCTGTTGGGCGTGTTACGATTTCTGTTGGATGAGTACGTGAAACGTAAACAGCAGATCAGAGGACACCTTTACAGTTGTAGCACAGGATAGTGTCGGTCTCACGTGACACCGCGCTTTGACCCGCTCTTGAACGCAGCCCAAGTGTGGTTGGTTGAGCCGCATTCATGTCGTTTTCCAGCTGCGGCCGCCACCAGTCACTGACGACTGGGCGTCGGTGGAGCAGGACGGCGGACGGCCGGCACCGGCAGAGCAGGACGGCGGACGGCCAGCGCCGGCGCCGGCGGGGTGTCGCACAGCTGCGCCCGGCCCAGCACGCCGCTCAGCCACCACGGCCATGGCCTCTCCATGCCGCACGGGAGTTGCTCTCCATCAGCTGCTGCCGGCATGCGCCACGCACGTGTTCGGACTAAGTCGTCAGCGGGGATGCTGGCGACGTGTGGCGCCGCCGAGCGTGTTCTGCATTTTTTCAAGGGCGTGACGGTATATTTTAAGACAGCCGATACGATGAACATAGCACGCGAAGCCTAGAGGACCCGTCAGTGTCTGCGTAGATGGCACGCTGGGAGTCGTTATTCTAAGCATTCTCATGTATCATAGTTTCGCTCACGTCACTTGTGTCGATCACATTAATCGGTGTGAGCTCACCTGTTCCTGGCTAGAGAAGCACGGTGTTGTTCCCTGGGGCGTCAGTGGTGAAATGGTGCACGGCGCGCGTGTTTGTCGTGCGCTCTGTATCGACTCCTATCCAAGTAACAGCGTTAGCACGGTCCATGCGGTGAATTGTACCGCGTTGCAGCGAAAGGACAAAATCAGCCGTTGTGCCGCTGTGTGGCACCGCAGAAGGGCGATTCGTTTCTTATGAGACTGTGTGCGGAGAGGAACACGCATCTGGGATGCATTTTGTCCGCAGTCGGACGAGTTTGTGGTTATAAGAACAGACTGTTGTCATTCGAAAGTGGATGTGCAATGCCTGATGTCTGAGGGTTTCTTCCGTTCGACTTGTCTTGTGTTATTAGCAGGAACGAAATCTATAGCACCATGTCTCTTTGGCTAGTTTGTGCCTATTTGGCGGTGAGGGTCCCAGCTTTGGAATTGCAGTGAGCTGATGAGTTGTCCGCCGGATTGTAATTCCATTCGATTCTGAGAATGGCATCGGAATTTCGTTTAGTCGAATCTCTTATATCATTTGTGGCCCCATTATGCTTTCCCGTGCTGTGGACACCTCTGTGTAAATGTTGCTGAAAGTTTCCACCAGAGACAACTGGATGTTGCGGTAATTTTGAGAAATATATTCATGTATTACTCACTGGTAAACGTTCTTCTTGGTGTTCCGGTCTTCAAGACTTTCGCAGGGTATTACTAAAAGCAGCAAAATTATAGCCTTCTTTCGAAGGGAATGGAGAGGCCGTGGAATGCTGGTCTCATTCGTCATGCTGATGACTCGTGGAGGACGCGTCGAAACATTCGAATAGTGATGTTTACCGTTGAAAGTTTGCAAATTTAAGCTCCAGTAAATCGTACTTATTATCCTGCTCAAAGCACACCTATTAAAAGTGTTTCAGATGTTTATTTCAATGGTAAAAATTCGCAGTTTCACACCCAAACCTTTCATCCACGGAGAAAAACGCGAGGTCAACGTCAAGTCAACCTGTCGCTGCTGGATTCGACGGTCCTTCCTGAGCGCACATGTATGATTAGGCCCCTTCGTAGGCCAGCACGCAGCACCAGTGTTACGCAGTACTTCAACTAGCACGCAGTACCAATGTGGCTACCAACTAAATGGCCGCGGCTGACGCATAACGAACAACACCAGATTTGACACTCAGATCCTTCTGGCATTGTAACGAATGGACAAATCAATTGCCTGTTCCAGTTGTAATGGCTTGCAAAGTTTGCTCATCCCACACGGAGCGAAGCGTTTACATGATTATGGTGCTGCCTTTGAATGTTATTTATTAACAGATGCAGTCAACTAGTAATCAGTCGTTCTCAGAACGGTGTCATCGAAGCCATCGCAAACTGGCTTATCGATAGCCACCGCAGAGGCAGCCATCGCTGTGCGAGGTAGGCTGCTGCGATGTCAGCGGTCTACTATAGTGCCTTACGCGGCGAGTTGGTGATAACGCGGGAATGGCTGGCGTGTGTATTATTTAGATAAGGACGCAGTGCTCCCATTACCGGACGTCGGCGCTATACAATGCGCTGCCATAGGAAGGGAGGCACCTTCAGGTCCCAACCTTTCGACGGGCTCTAGGGCGCCACTTGCGACAGGGTTCTGCACTGAGTTATGTCGTCATATATATGTATATATATTGTTATGTTGGGCGGGCTCGATTTAATCTCTAGTGGACCAAAAGCGTGTAACCAAAATGGGGTATATTAATTACAGAAGCATAAGGCGTGAAGTCATCCTGACTTCCTACATCGCTTACACCATATTTGATACGAGTGCACGGCGGCTATAATCCCCGGGAGAGGTAGCAGTCTTCGGTAACAGCAACGGCCACTAAGATGTGTCAACATTGTTATTCACAATGTTGACAAGGACACGCTGACGTCGTGCATATCAACGACAGCGGAGGGTATAAGAGCCGGAGTCGGAGTCAAAGAGAACGGAGGGAGAGGAGCCAGCTACGTCGTGGATATCAATGAGAGCTGAGGGTGGAAGGACCGGAGTGGCAGTCAAAGGGAGCGGAGAGAAAGGAGCCAGCTACGTCGTGGACATGAACGAGAGCTGGCTTACCTTCCCCGGCGCCGCCCGGACCACCACTGACCCACCGCCGACCCCGACCCCAGGCGTGACCTACTCCCCGGCCTGTGATTGGCCGGGTCACGTGACCACGTGGCTTCGGGAACAGACGCGAAAATAAAAGGTCTCCTTACAAAAGAACGGCAGCCGCTGTTGAGATTTGAACCCAACACGAAATGTAAACACGCTCACAACGCTCTAAGCCACTGTGCCACCAGGACGATGATCACGTTGGTAGGTTAGAAGGCAACTTATCACGTACACAACAATATATATATATATATATATATATATATATATATATATATATATATATATATATATAGTGTTTTGTATATATATATATATATATATATATATATATATATATATATGGATATATATATAGTGCGTGTGTGCGTGTGCGTGTGCGTGTGCGTGTGCGTGTGTGTGTGTGCGTGTGCGTGTGCGTGTGCGTGTGCGTGTGCGTGTGTGTGTGTGTGTGTGTGTGTGCATGGATGTAGTTTAGTATTGCAGGTATTTTTCATTAGATTGTATGTTAGTGTCTGTTGCGTTCACCTCTCTCTCTTGTTTGGGTTTCATGTTTTGCCGCTGGGCCGGAGAAGCCACGTGAACAATGTGCATCACCCTGCACATATATCTGATGAGTAATCGCCGTTGTCATTGGGGGCTTTACGGCGCACCCAGCTGCTGAGGCTATATGGCGTCGCCTGGCTCTCACCCTGGCAGGAAGGACGGACACGGCGGGGAATCGAACCCCGTACCTCTAGTTTCTCAGACGTTTTAATGAGTAGGGAACGTGAAGAACACATGTATCGTACCTGGTCGGGTCCAGTTAAAATGTTCGGTATTGGCTTTTGGATCATGTATCCGGTTAAAAAAGAGGTATTGGACACGAATTTACATACGGATCCAGCAAATGATACAAATGATATGCTGCTGGTGCGGCATGTGGCCAGGAACTGGAAAAAATGGACCATTACGTAACGGCTGAATACGATGTTGCGGTCCCAATGGGCAATGAGACGCTGTCTTTGTTTAACACACGCCCGGGTGGCCGGTTGGATGCCCTTCGCTCGGTTGGGGAGGGGGTTTCCGAACGCCACGCCGCTCGGAAACCATTCCGGAAAAACCTTCGGAGGGTCAATTTGCCCCCCCATCTGAGCGCGTGTTGATGTACTGCTGGTCACTGAAAACAGCGCAAGAGCTTAAGATGCTTGAAATGTGTCCAGAAGCCGAAACCATTTATCTCTATTTTGGGTAATATCGTAACGACATGGAAATTGCACGGGTTGTTGACAGTGTATCGATTTCATGTGGTATGCAAGGGGACTGCTCCGTATGATGAACTATGTGCTTACGTATATTCATATGGTGCTCATGTGGTTCCAGCGTGATTAACAGATAGGTTGGCTCATACAGCGTCCACGTCGACACTGCATGGGCTTGAGATGAGCCAGCCCAGACCGGTGGCGTAGCCAAAATTTCGCCCAGGCGAGGCCTACATCGGGGCCCAGGTGACATTTTAGGCTTGTGGCCAATAAGTCCAACATTAGCCAACATGTCCGTGAAGTTAGCGATTTAATCAGCGATTTATTCAGCGACGAGCTCCAATTTCTCTGAAAAACGTGGCAAGCTAACTTGGGCGCGAGAACATCGACAATCATCTCTGTTTTGCGATGTAATGTGACCATCGAGGTCAAAAGCTGGGTCAAAGGATGGAGAACTCAATATCACCCAAAAATTACCGACAATTTTTAAGCTTGCAAATACCAGAATATTTACCAGAAGAAATAGCGTCCGCCAAAAAGCCTTCACCTCGAAAAGTCACCCTTTAGGGCCAAATGCGGGCTCAAAGGACGGGGAACCAAATATCACCCAAAAATTACCGGCCGATTTTCATTTCCAAATATCAGAACATTCAGCACAGAAAATACTAGCGCCCGTCAAAAAGCCCTGACCTTTCAAGGTCATCCTTTGAGGTCAAACGCGGGCTCAAATGGCGGGGACCTTGATATCACCCGAAAACTACCGGCCAATTTGAAAACTGCAAGCATCAAAACATTTACAAGCGCAAAAGCAAGCGTCCGTCAGAATGCCCTGACCTTTCAAGGTGAACCTTTAAGGCCAAACGCGGGCTCGACGGACGGGGAACTTAATATCACCCCAAAATTGCCAGCCGATTTTAAACTTGCGAGTGTCAGAATATTCACCACAGAAAGAACTAGTATCCGTCCAAAAGTTCTGCTCCTCAAGGTCACCGTTCAAGGTCAAACGCAGCCTCAAAAGATGGGTTACTCGATATCACCCAAAAATTGCCGGCCGATCTTAAACTTGAAAACATCACCATGTTCATGAGCTAAAATGCTAGCGTCCGTTAAGACGTCCCGGCTTCACAACGTTATCCTTCAAGGTCGAGCGCGAGCTCAAAAGACGGGGAACTCAGACGGAAAATCACCCAAAAAGTACCGGCCGATTTTAAACTTGCAAACATCAGAATATTCAACACAGAAAGAACTCGCGTCTGTCAACAAGTCCTGACCTCTCAACGTCCCCCTTCGAAGTAAAACTCGTGCTCAAACAACGGGGAACTCAATATCACCAAAACATTATTCCCCGATTCTAAACTTCGAAGCACCAAAATACTCACATATTCAAGGGCTAGCGTCCGTCAAAACGTCTCGACCTCTCAAGTTCATCCTTCAAGGTTAAACGCAGGCTCAAACGACGAACAGTTCATTATCACCCAAAAGTTTTGTCCGATTTTTAACTTCCAAATATCAGAATACTTAATACGCGAACAACTACCGTCCGTCAAAAAGTCCTGAACTTTCAAGGTCACCCTTTAAGGTCAAACGTGGACTAAAAAAATGGGGAAATCCATATGACCCAAAAATTTCCGGCCGAATTAAACTTGCAAACATCAGAATATACACCACAAAAACTAATGTCCGTCAACCTAGTTTCCGCTCGTTGAACCGCGTTTAACCTTGAAGGATGACCTTGAGAGGTTAGGACATTTCTCGACGGACACTAGTGTTTTTTGGTGGACATTCTGATGTTAACAACTTGAAAATCTCCGGGTAATTGTTGCGTGACATTGCGTTCCCCGTCCTTTGATCCGCGTTTAACCTTCAAGGGTCACCTCGAAAGGTTAGGACATTTTGGCGGACGCTAGATCTTGAGCTTGTGAATGCTTTGATGCTTGCAGTTTTCAAGTCGGCCGGTAATTTTTGCGTGAAATCAAGCTCCCTGTCCTTGAGGGTAACCTTGAGAGGTCGGGACCTTTGACGGACGTTAGTATTTTTTGTGCTGAATATCCTGATATTTGGAAGTTTAAAGCCGGCCGGTAATTTTTGAGTGATGTTAAGTTTCCCGTTCTTTGAGCCCACGTTTGACCTTGAAGGCTGACCTTGAGAGGTCAGAACTTTTTGACGGACGCTAGTTCTTTCTGTGGTGAATATTCTGGCATTTGTAAGTTTAAAATCCGCCAGGAGCTTTTGGGTGATATTGAGGTATTCGTCCTTCGAGCACGCGATTAACCTCGATAGGTCATTTTAAAAGATCATA